CTGGAGATGCCAGTGTCAGGGTGAACTTGCTTCAACACCTTGTAGATGTAGATGGCATAGCTTTCCTTTCTCTTTCCCCTCCTCTTCTTCTTTCCATCAGATGGAGCCTTTGCCTTTCCAGCTCTCTTCTCGCCTTTCTTTCCTGCAACTTTGGGTGCCATGTTTGTCGATCAGAATGGAAGTGAATGCAATGAGTTGACCCAGATTCTATTTATATCAAAACCATTAGGGGATCAATTAACATACGGATCGAAATCGTTGAGTTTTAATTGGTTGCTTTATTTCAAGGTCAATATGCTTCCTGTATACATCATCATATTTCATTAGACACTTAAAATTGTTAAGTCTGATTGGTGCGTTTCGATCCCATTCAAATTTTACCGCGCGTATAAACTCTTAGGTTTGTAAGTTCAGTCCACTCACTCGTGCATTTTCGAGCTAAACGTTTGTTGTGAAAACATGTCTGGTCGCGGTAAAGGAAAGGCAAAGGGCACCAAGTCCAAAAGCCGATCATCTTGAGCAGGGCTTCAGTTCCCTGTTGGACGTATCCACCGTCTTCTTCGCAAAGGCAACTATGCTGAGCGTGTTGGCGCTGGTGCTCCAGTCTACTTGGCTGCAGTGCTTGAGTATTTGAGCGCTGAGATCCTCGAGTTGGCGGGCAATGCTGCTCGTGACAACAAGAAAACCAGAATCATTCCCCGTCACCTTCAGCTTGCTGTCCGCAACGATGAAGAGTTGAACAAACTGCTTGCCGGCGTCACCATCGCTCAAGGAGGTGTTCTGCCCAACATCCAGGCTGTTCTTCTGCCCAAGAAGACGGAGAAGAAACCAAAAGCCTAAACAGTCCTACTCGGCGTTAAAACAAACGGCTCTTTTAAGAGCCACCACATATAATAAAAGTCATGACCATAACCAGAAAAATATATCAACTAATTTGCAGACCTTTACTTCTTTTAATACCGTGCACACACATACACACAATATATTTTATTTTCATACACATCATTTTGCCATCTCCGCCCGCAAATAGCAAAAGCTAGACGAGGCGGGCGGAGAGGATAGGTTATAGCAGTCATAACAGATAATATTGTAAAGTAACTAAATAAACTATCTGGATAAATAAGAATTACAGAAAAACAAGCTAAAGATACAAAATATATAGTCTTACAGAATAATATTACAATCAAATTTACTACTAACAAAACCTATCAATTGTCGAGGATGCAGAATTTGTCATTTTTTGTAGGAGAATGGGCACTTCAACATAATCGTCCTCTACTTCCATTATCGAGAGCAAAAACTCATGAAATTTTTTTTTAAAAGCTCCTTTGGAGAGTTGACGAAATTCGTTAGGAATTGCGTTCCAAAGTGTAGCTCCAAACCTGGAAAAAGAACTTGATTTAGATTCCGTCTTGAAGTTTGGACATAATAATTTCCAGACGAAGAAAACCAGGTTTCATGCTTGTGCTTTGAATTAGCTTTAGTGAAGAAATCACAGATGTTAGACGGAGCATTAATGCAGGAGACGTCAAAATGTACAGTTAGCCAGACACTGACTCAGCCTGCACGACGATACATGTAGTTATAAGTTACGGTTAAATTTCCATTGATGAAACAAGAAAGCTTATATAACTTACTGGGTCTTACAATATAAAGAAGCATCAGCTACGAAATGTTTCTGGGTATGGCGCTAATAAGTGCGTGGAGTTTCGGGTACTTTATATATAGAAGGAAAATAAACCGCGCACAAAACGGCCACATTTTGGAGAGGGTTAGAAAATGGGCTATCTGAATAAATCAGTGAAATATATACAAACATTAAAGTTGGAATATACGCATTTAATGTCGGTGGGTTTTCGCGATCGGGTGATCGTCACCCGAAGCCGCTCAATTTTCGCTGCCAACAACAGGAAAAAAACCCTCTGGCACCGAGGGTACATATTCCACCGCGTTACACCAAATGCAAATCTGTTCAGTTTATAACGACGCCGGCGCGCAATTCTTTTGTTCTCATGCCTCAACGAGCGTCCGTTATACAGCTGATTGCTTTTGGGCAAGAACGCATATTTGCTGGAACCTCTACAACGAAATAATACAAAAATGGAAACGATCAGTTTGTTTAATTTCCTTACGTGTCTACAAAACGCAGACTTAAAATATAGTATTACTGACTGTCTTTTTTTCAACCGAAAACATCGGCGCGGCGTACATTAAATCACTGATTAAATAAAAGAGAAATATCATTTTATTGGCTATGACTTTTAAAGATTTGGTGGCTCCTAAAAGAGCCGTTTGTTTGGGTGGGTAACGCAAAGATCTAACCGCCAAATCCGTACAGAGTACGTCCTTGACGTTTGAGCGCGTACACCACATCCATGGCTGTCACAGTCTTGCGTTTAGCGTGCTCGGTGTAGGTAACAGCATCACGGATCACATTCTCAAGGAAAACTTTGAGAACACCACGGGTCTCTTCGTAGATCAGGCCAGAGATTCGCTTGACACCGCCACGGCGAGCAAGACGACGTATAGCAGGCTTGGTGATACCTTGGATGTTGTCACGAAGAATCTTTCGGTGACGCTTGGCGCCTCCTTTTCCTAGACCTTTGCCTCCTTTACCGCGACCAGACATCTTGATGATCTTTCGTGAAACAGAATAATGACTCAAAAACTGAGAATTATTCTTTTTATACCACAAACAATGACCTCACGGGAAACAGGCTAAAAGAAGTGTAATTAGTTGTTCGCCATTGGTGGATAGAAACAAAAGAGCCATGATGTCAAGATAAACATTACCATCATATTGCCTCACCAGACAAGACCGAACATGTTAGAGGAGCAAAAACTTTACATTATCACTAACAAACGTGGGACTTAACTCCTCGACGAATCTTATGATGATATTTTCTAACAACTAAGAACGAAAGCTAACAAATTATTGTTTCCCACGAATAAAAAAAACCTTAAGTGGCATACAGGATCGAAATGCAATCCCAGATCATGACAATATTTTGTAAGCAATCTTGGTTATCCAATGAAATTGCATAGTTTGTAACCAATCAGGAAATAGCGCGCTAAGTATAAAATATTGGTTTAAGGAATACAGTGCCATACGTTTTTCTTTGACGTTTGAGTTATCAGAAATGGCACGTACAAAGCAAACTGCCCGTAAATCAACTGGTGGAAAAGCTCCACGAAAACAGCTCGCCACAAAGGCCGCTCGTAAGAGCGCGCCTGCCACTGGAGGAGTCAAGAAACCTCATCGTTACAGGCCTGGTACAGTGGCTCTTCGTGAAATCCGTCGTTACCAGAAATCCACCGAGCTGCTAATCCGCAAGCTGCCCTTCCAGCGTCTTGTGCGAGAGATCGCTCAAGACTTTAAGACCGACCTACGTTTCCAGAGCTCTGCTGTGATGGCTCTTCAAGAAGCAAGCGAGGCTTACCTCGTTGGTTTGTTTGAAGACACCAACTTGTGCGCAATCCACGCCAAGCGCGTCACCATCATGCCCAAGGACATTCAGTTGGCCCGCCGAATCAGAGGAGAGCGTGCATAAGTGCATTGCTTCCATTAAAAAACAAACGGCTCTTTTAGGAGCCACCAAATGCTTTAAAGCAATAACCAACGCACTTCTCTTGCAAGTCTTCAATTATAGTTTTAAAAATTAAATATTATAAGCCAAATTTGCTTTCAACCGTTTTGCTGTTCAAAGAGTAAAACATCCTGCGTATAACGAATGTTTAGTGGGGAAATTAGAATAGAGTTCGACGGAAAAGAACAAAAGTTTGCACTTATTAAATAATCATAACTAGACAAAACGTAATGCGGAAAAAAACTTTTTTAACCTGCGAGCAGAAGTTTCTCTCTTCCATTGCTTTTAGCGTTAACGTAGTTGTTCGTATGGCTTGTCTGTCGCGTAGTTGCTTTTTTTCGATCGGGGGGCGTATAAAACAAACCAACTACGCGACAGACAAGCCACACGAACGACTTCGTTAACGCCAAAAGCCATGCAACAGAAAAACCTCTGCTCGCATGGTAACAGCCTAACTTTTTTTAAAGTTTACGGGAAATCTGGTAGCACTTAGGCCTATTTTTTCCTCAAAGCCTGTCTTGTTCCAAGCGTTCAGATCGTGGGGACGGCGCAAATAGTCATGTGAGTAGCCTGCGAGCAAGCTCTCTCATTTGGGAGAGCGGAGCGAGCTGCGAGGTGCCTAGGAAAGCTCCTTTCTCTCGTTCTCTCCGGTCTCCCCCGCCACGCGCTTTCGCTTCGCGTCTCCTCTCGCATGCTTCTCGCGCGTCTACTTTCACGATAGCTCATGGGAGCTCGTTTGCAGACTAAGATGTGAGCAGAAAAAAACAACGAGGAGATGGCGTCCTCATCTGCGGAGAAGGGTAGCATAGAAGCAAGTCTGGGCTTAAATGTTTTATTTTTTTGCTCAAATATTTATCTCATCTAATACTTGTTTTAGCGGGCGATCACTGAACTGTAAAATTGGCTCAAATTTTATGCAAGTGGCACATCTAACTAATGCTCATAACATGACATGGTTCAATGAAAGTTTTCAAATCCACTTTTTTAATAGACTCTTACTTTTCTAAATTAAATCAGAAGAAAGGTTCACCTTATCCCCACAGCCAGAAACACTTTTCAGTCTTTCACAATATTTTAACGGCCTACTGCCACTCATTTTCAAAAACACAGATGGTTGCAACGTAATACGGACATCAGGGGCACCCAACGAGAATATAGTTCAAAACCACTTAAACATAGCATTGTTAAACGTATTTTAATATTTAAACGGAAGATATAGGCATATTTTTATCCCCTAAAAATTTTTCGTCTGTTCGGATTTCTTAGCTGAAAGTCTAGTGATCCGAAAATTATAGGGATAAAAACTTACCTTTTCGAAAATTTCGGCCAGAAAAAAGGCTCCCGAAAATTCTAGGTGACCTTTCTAGGGTAAAAATCCGTACGAGTACCCCCCCCCCCCCCCCGGGGGTTGAAAAAGCAATCAAACCCAGTCCCGCGAAGCTTTCTCTTATTGGAACATTTGGATAATAATTAAGCATGCCCAAAGGCTATTTAATTTTTTAAAACCTTTAGAGGGGGTCCGTATTAAAGGGGAATCCGTGTTAAGCGGCTTGAATTTAGAGAAAATTTAAGCGCCTTCTTATCCCAGGGATAAAGCAAACTGTCCGTAATAACTGTGGTTGTCAATACCGCGGGGTTTTGACTGTAAAGATGTTAGAAACATCGAAACGTTGAATTACATGCTTTAGTTTAATTTTTCTTGTTAAATGCTTTAAAAAGCAACTAATCATCCGATCTCATACAAAAAATGTGTGAAAAAAGGGGGGACTAAATCCCCCTCGGCCCAACCACCAGTCCGTGTTACCTGAACAAAAGCTAAGGACGCTAAGCCATGGAATGAAGCAGCGCAATTCATAGGTAAGGATAAGATGTGATTGAGAAGATTTAAATCTTAAAGTCAGGGAATGAAACCTTAAGTCAGACACGCAGATTCACGTGAGACGCAGTTTAACGCGAGGCGTGAGAGCCGAAAAGTTGACTGACACACAACAAACTCTCCCCCCACCCCTAGGAAAACGCTATACAAGACTTCGGTGTATACATAGTGTAACTTAGTGTCACGCGGCGAGTAAATTTTATAAGCTTACCATACCATTGCAAATATAGCATTTTCGAATAAAAGTTGTGTCATCCTTTGCTGTGATATTTTAAAATTACTGAAATTCTTAAAGATTTGCTTATCACCGATTTAGAATCACTAAGTGATTGATTTGAGTAGAGTTCGTCGTTATTCGTCGCTTAGAGGAGCCAACTTTTGGACAACGGGTTATATTTTTATCATGAGCGCTCGACGGACTTTTAAGAGAAAATAGAGAGTTAGTGAATAGGCTACTAGAGGCGGGAATTAGGATAATATCATTGAATTTGGTCATGAATTTTATGACATTTGGTGGCTCCTAAAAGAGCCGTTTTGTTTTGGCGGTAAACTCACAAAGTGAGTTTACTTGCTGCTGGTGTACTTGGTCACAGCTTTGGTTCCTTCACTGACAGCGTGTTTTGCCAGTTCACCGGGCAAAAGCAGCCTGATGGCGGTCTGGATCTCGCGAGAACTGATGGTTGATTTCTTGTTGTAGTGGGCAAGGCGGGAAGCTTCGGTGGCGATGCGCTCAAAGATGTCGTTAACGAACGAGTTCATGATGCCCATGGCTTTGCTGGAGATGCCAGTGTCAGGGTGAACTTGCTTCAACACCTTGTAGATGTAGATGGCATAGCTTTCCTTTCTCTTTCCCCTCCTCTTCTTCTTTCCATCAGATGGAGCCTTTGCCTTTCCAGCTCTCTTCTCGCCTTTCTTTCCTGCAACTTTGGGTGCCATGTCTGTCGATCAGAATGGAAGTGAATGAACTGAGTTGACCCAGATTCTATTTGTATCAAAACCATTAGGGGATCAATTAACATACGGATCGAAATCGTTGAGTTTTAATTGGTTGCTTTATTTCAAGGTCAATATGCTTCCGATGCTTGTATACATCATATACATCATCATATTTCATTAGACACTTTCAAGTCTGATTGGTGGGTTTCGATCCCATTCAAATTTTGCCACGCGTATAAATTGTTAGGTTTGTAAGTTCAGATCAATCACTCGAACATTATCGAGCTTTTAAACGATTATTTTCAAAACATGTCTGGTCGCGGTAAAGGAAAGGCAAAGGGCACAAAGTCCAAAAGCCGATCATCCCGAGCAGGACTTCAGTTCCCTGTTGGACGTATCCACCGTCTTCTTCGCAAAGGCAACTATGCTGAGCGTGTTGGCGCTGGTGCCCCAGTCTACTTGGCTGCGGTGCTCGAGTATTTGAGCGCTGAGATCCTCGAGTTGGCGGGCAATGCTGCTCGTGACAACAAGAAGACCAGAATCATTCCGCGTCACCTTCAGCTTGCTGTTCGCAACGACGAAGAGTTGAACAAACTGCTTGCCGGCGTCACCATCGCGCAAGGAGGTGTCCTGCCCAACATCCAGGCTGTTCTTCTGCCCAAGAAGACCGAGAAGAAGCCAAAAGCCTAAACAGTCCTACGCGGCGTTAAAACAAACGGCTCTTTTAAGAGCCACCACATAACAAAAGTCATGACCATAAAGAGACAGCTATATCAACTAATAAGCAGACCTTCACCTCTTCGAATTAGTACAGTTAGCCAGCAAGTGACCCCTGATTCGGCCTGCACGATACTTAAAACTCCATTGCTGAAAAAAAAGCTTATATAACTTAACTGGATCTTACGATCTAAAGAAGCATCAGTATGAAATGTTTCTGGGTATTGGCGCTAATTAGTGCGTGGAGTTTCCGGTACTTTACCTAGAAGACAAATAAACCGCGCACGAAACGGCCACATTTTAAGAGAGGGGTAGAAATTGGGCACACTGTGAATAAATCAGTGAAATATGTGAAATAAATACAGCATAAACATTAAAGTTAGAACTTGTGCACTTAGTGTCGGTGGGTTTTCGTTACACCAAATGTAAATCTGTTCAGTTTATAACGACGTCGGTGCGCAGTTTGTTTTTCTTTTGTTCTCAACGAGCGTTCGTAATACAGTTGATTGCTTT